TCTCAACTTTTATCAAAGGAGCTATCTCATCTACATATTTTTCAATTCTCTGTCTTAAGATAGCCGCTGTACTTTAATATTTATTTATCTTTTTATTTATTTATTTATTTATCTACTCATTTATTTATTTATTTATTTATTTGTTTATTTATTTATTCAGTTATTTATTTATTTATCTATCTATGCTTATAGATCTGTACTTCAATAAATTTGCTTGTTTAATAGTGCATATTACGGCTTTGCTCAAATTGCATAAATGTATCTTATGGTAGTATTTCTGAAAGAATTTTACAAAATACGGAGTCTTTTTATGGTTTGAATTCGTCGGTTAGACATTTTTGTTTCAGTTTTTGAATTCTCTTCGCAAAACGTTGCTTTTTCAACCTTTTCAGGCTTACCCTATTATGGCTTCTATTGTTTTTGTTTTTTGTCTTATTGTTGATTTTTCGCTGCGAATTTTTTCAGCAACGTCATCGTCTTTACCATCATTATTATCTTTATTGCTGTTGTTGATATTTTTGGTATTTGCGCTCTTGTTGTTGTTAGTGGTGATACTGGTGGCGGCGGTGGCTCTCGCGGTATTTTCTTTTTTCTAGTTTTGGTTATTTTTGCTTCTTCAGAAAAGTGGTTTTATGAGAAAGGTTAAAATTGGCCAAAGGTTTGGTGCAAACGACGAAAAAAAGAAAATTGCCATTTATGTGATGCTTTCTCTTAACTAAAACTATGCGATTTTTATTATTATATGTATTTGTATTTATATAACAGTAGAAGATATTTATATATTTATATGACAGTAAAAAGTATATATAAGTAAATAAATAGATATATATATATATATATATTTATTTATTTATTTCTTTATTTAGTTAAAATAAGGGGCTTAAACTTTACATTTTTTTTTTTTTGGTTTTCTTTTCTCGTCTATCTTCTTTTGCCTTTTTTTAATGAAAACTTAGTGGTAAAGCAAGAGAAATCCATCAAGTTACACCCTCGTTCGTTACTTTCTCACTTCCTTCAAATAGTCATAATCCATTTTTTCTTTTTTTTTTTTCATAGCTTTTTCTTCATTTTTTCTTTCTTTTCTGCAGTAATGAGGTTAATTTTCAGTCTTATTGTTTTTCAGATTTTAGAATCTTTTATCTTGATTTCACACTCGTATATTGTTTTGGTGTGTTTCTGTTACTCACCACCGATTCAGTTTGCAAATTCTGTTTTAATTTTTTTTCTTTTTTCAGTTTTTATTATACATAAATTGAGAAATGCTCATTTTTTGTGGCGCAATATTTTTTTGGCAGTTTTTGTCACTGTCATTTGGGAAATAAAACTTTGTGCTTAATAAATAAATAGAGGAAAAGAATTTTGAAAATCTTTTTTTGCTCTTATATTTTGCCAGTTCCATTGGTGGCCTACAGTCTTAACGTTTCGTTACGAATTGCGTTTAAGGTACTTTAATAGCTTCTCATTGTTTTGACTTACTACTTCGCTACTTTTATTTTATTTGTTTTCATTCTCATCTCTTGTCTTACGTCAGACTAAGGTCAGAACGATGTTCAAAAGAAATTATTTTTGTAAGAGTTAAAAACTTGCCTTAGCCGTCTTGTTCAGAGCCTTCGACCATTCTCGTTTAAAATGTATACCTAAACTGTTATTTTTCGCTTGAAAACTGCTGATCACGTATAAAACTTCTGTCGTCTAATTACGGATGGCTGATTCTTAGTGACCGTTGGTAGACTTTTTTAAAAAGAACTGTTAACGGTATGAGAACATTAAGTTTGAAGTGACATTTTTACTGCTTTGTTGCAATATTGTTGGCCATTTTTGCTCAACTAAATTAATGCTTCGTTGTTTTCTCTCCCTTCAAAATGTTTTTTTTATATTTATTGCCTCAGTTTTACGTGTTATTGAATGTTACCAGTGCTGAAGTCAGTGAGTAAACGGGACAATGATGCGATAACGTTTTCGGAGGACAAATCAGTGGGATAAAGAAGACGGATGGAAGTAAAGCAAAATTATGAACAAGTTGACTTGTTGTTTTTGAATTAATCTTCAAGATGCATTTTATTGGCATTATTTCCCTTAAAAGTCTGCAGTGCCTAACAAACATCGATGAGATCACAGCAAGTTAACACATGCCGACAACAAATAGCGATCATCATCCATCCATCTTTCTATGCATTCATTCTTCCATCCGTCTGTTCATCTATCTATCGGTTTCTCTTCTGTCTATTTGTTCATCTATCTATTTATCTGTCCAGTACATCCAACGTAACCACTGACCTACCAAAAAATGTTGATAAATTTTTGACGTCGAACTTGCTGTTTTTTTCACTGCGTTTTTCAGCAGTTTTTTGAATTGCGAATGTTCTTCAGTCGTATGATACACGTAGATGAAAAATTCTTTTTTTTTTCTTCACAAATTTAGATTAAATTATCTTAAAACACGCGTTATTTTCAGGACTGAAAAACTGGGAAAAGCTAGTTGTCTCAACTAACTTAACGTTTTCTATTAGATCGTGCAATAAGTAATTTGGTTTTTAAACGGTTCTACGGGTTTCACTGGGGTTTTTGAGGCGGCTGCTTTTCTAAAATAAGTCACAAGTTTTCTTCATATTCCTTATAAGCTTATCCACTTTGCTCACTGTGTTTTAGCACATTTCTTTTTTTTAAAATTCTTTATTTATCTAGCAGCCTTATAGAATTTTTTCAAAGCGGAAAAGAAGAAAAGAAGAGATAGAAAACGTGTTTCGTTTATGGTTGGAAAATCTATAATACACAAAAGAAGGATAACTTTCAAAATTACTAGTATTTACTGTTTAAATGTATATATATACATTCACTAATTAGAGTTAAGTAAAAAAGTCAGTTTTATTTGCTATTCGGTGGTGAAGCTTAAAATTGAGGCATCAAAATGACCAG